TACACAGCCATGTGATCTCAGGATTTTACATACACTAAGTTAGTGGCATAACCCCAAGTATTAATTTCAACGCTAGTTCACAGAATTATAATAGCGTAACGTACACTAATTACCGCTGTTGACTCCTTTGATACCTGCCAATCACCAAAGAAATTACCTAGTTAAAGCTTGGGTACGTCTCAGTTTGTACTTGTTAGTAATTTATGTTAATACATGTATGAGACCCATATCTCGCACGTGCATGGCATGACAACCACCGCCCCATACAGTGAGCCTATACATGTTTGCATATGTGTGCTTATTGTTGGAAAGATAGAGATTTTATTTGTTATTACAAAAGAAATGGCAATAAGAAATGTTATAATTTCTATAATGCTAAAATTAACATGAATCAAGTGTATTTTAATCTAAAATGCATGAAAGAATTTTCCAATTTCACTGAGAAATTTGAGCTCCTAAATTATTAAGGTTTTGAGGGAACCTCACTGAAAAAGAGAAGAGGGGTGTTTGTTCACACATGCTCAAAGTGCAGGCAAACTGACCAAACTGATATGACAAGGTAAGAAAAATAGTATGTTAATATACGTCAGGTATATGTGCTACCATGGTTACTAATTTAGTAGCTGTGTGTTCACAGGATGTGTCATAATTTTATTCCTTTCATGAACTTTGAACATATATTTTAAATTCAAATCAAAATATTAATGAACAATTTTCATGTCAAAAAAAAAAAAAAAAAATTTACAAATGGTACTCATGAGGAATTCATTGAAGCTGATTTAAAGCTCGCCAAATGGTAAGTTACGCTCGAATCATACTGTACACAACACTCTTTTCAGAATGACCCAAAAATGATATTTATATGTAATAAATTTTCTCTTAGGTTGACGTCAACATCCACAAGTGATTACCGATTTAGGCATCATTCTATAGTCTATATTCTATAGTATATAGTAATAATAAATCAAGTCTGTATTTATTTTATTAATCAAGCATATAAGATCCTGAAACAGAATACTGTATACTTTTTGCTACATATTTTCAAAGCATTCGCAGCCAGTAAGTGTGAAGAGTTATATCCATAACTGAATACTTAATGTTTGACGTGATCATTCCAATATGTACAATAGCCCACAGTTGTTTCCAGGGCTCAATGAGAACTACGCACCGACGGACACGTACGTCGGCGATCCCATTGTTGTTGATAAATATAGGAAAAACCCCAGGGTGTAAAGTTGAAAGTTCAAAGGTAAACATTTTCGTACTTAAACTTACGACTCAATACGTCGCGCACACACGAGACTCGGCACGTAAAGACACTTACTTTTGACCGAAGATATTAACCGAATATAGACCGATGTCAAAGCTATGACCTAAATGTATGACAATGTTCCGTGTTTTTATGGGCCAATGTAAAAGGAGAAAAAGACACGCCACATGTACCAGCGCACAAATGTATGTAATCAAAACAGGGATAATCAGATTATTGCGTCATACAAGAACACAGGTCAGTAATTAAAATGATTAGAAAATGCTTACCTATGGGCTATGTCCTAAACCCGCATTTCAAATCAATGGGAAATTGCTACACACATACATGTACACACGCTCAGCTGGGATGACATGAACATGTGAAAAAAGGCCCTTTAAGTTAAAAAAAACGATCACTCGGTCTCCCCAGCATCTTCTAAATCTGCTTGTCGGCGCAAAGTACATCTATTGTCAACTTCGTATGATATTATTAATCACTTCCCCTTACATACTAAGCGCCACTTTGAGAATATATATAGATCATGAAATTATTACAGAACAATACAAAAATGTCAATAACAATTGTTGCCGCTTATCGGGGGGGGGGGGAGTAGCTGGTACAGGTTACAGGAAATAAAAGCGGCATTTTACATTTTTAGGAAATAAATGAAAGTTCTATTTACAGTAAAAAATAGGTTTTTACACTTTACAGACAAAGCAAATTCCTAATTACATTTTTATAATATTTTTGATAATTTGTGTTTAAGAATCAAAATTGGAAAATGCGTACCGTAACGAATTCTTTTGGTAAATGCTGTATACGCTTACAAAAAATAATATCTTTTTACGGACGAATAAAATAGCTGATTACATTTTACTCCGAGTCCTTGCCGACCCTCTTTATCGAAGTAGTGCCGGATGCCCGAACGAGACTGAATATATCGGACACTTGGTGAAATTACACTACCGACTGCAGCCGGCCGACAATGCCTGTAGGAATGACATGTTTTATTTCGCACGTTCATTCGACTCGGACGGACTCAAAGAAGGTCAGTGTTTTATCCAAAATGGGCATTTTAAAAAATAAAAAAAAAATGTTTAGCCGAAATGCCTCCTTTCTGGCAAGTGTTCCGGGCTGTACTTGCTTCCAATGTGCACCCGAGACATAATTTTAGACCAATTTTGCTAGACCATATTTTAAAACGAACAAAATTAATAAATTATTATAAATAGAGGAGGTACATCACCATGTGATTAAAATAAGTTCTTGTTCGGGTTGTTTCGGTATTTTTAAGAATGATAATCGGGAAAAATAACGTAATAATCCCATAAAGATATTTTTTAATCCACCTCACAGCTTTTTAAGAACACTTTTACCAAACCTATATAGCATTTCGCTTATTTTAGTCGTGAAAACCACACATCTCTAGCGGCATTTGATATTTTTCACACCATTTTTTACTGACACAAGCAACTTGTTGGTAATACCCCGTTCTATAGATAGTGAGATTTTCTCGTCGGTGACGGCGCTGTTCGAAATTCTTTACCCCGCTTTTAATGTTAACTCACGCTTTTATATATTTCTACAAAACGTGTCAAACCGACGAGGAAATAAAATAGTGCAGTATGCATTGTATACATATATAATTCTAATATCTACTTACCTAGAAATAACATCCGAGTCATTTGAGTGAAATGAAACAAGATTTTAGACAGACATACACATAAATGTACAAAATGAAATATATATTTGACTAGTATCAAAACATTTATTGTGTTAATTTATCACAGTATCCGCATTTTACATCTGACGTAGAAAGCGAATACAATACTAGTTTTTTTTTAAATTTCTGACATGCGCCACCAACGGCAGACAATGTGGTGAGTACATAGTGTTTGTGATAACATAAACGGAAGACTGTTCATCACATCACAGTCCCTCAACAATTAAAATCCGAGCTCAGAAGACTGTTCCGGGAAGTTGTCATGGTATGTCTGACATTTGATGAGTAATTATATCTTAGATTTTTTCTGATCTCGATTAACATTCGACTAGTGGAACTACAAACCCCAGTAGTTCCATGATTCGACCAATGTATTGCGTAATCAGGATGGTATGTATAGAGTTAAAATGAAAGTAAAATTTACTGTTCGCGAATCTCCCACTATGTTAACGCTCTCAATGCATTTTCTCAAGCCGAAATAATTTCATCCGGAATAACTCGATACACACTATTATGAAGAATATTGACAACGACTTCAACGAGTTAATTTACCTTGCACGTATGGTATTGTGTTATTTTTAGCGATGAATGAACCCGGAAGTAATAATACATTTAGAGTGCATGCAACATGCCAGACTACTAATAGTAAACGTACAAATATGAAGAGAATTACGGAAATAAATCGTACCATTACATGTATAAGTAAAACTTGGAGACACGCAGCTCGAATGCGAGTATGTTTACTATGTTTTACTGGAAATATAGCGAGCAAAGATTTCCTTTTGTACCCTAACCTCTAATCCTAACTGAACCCTTCACCGATTGGTGATTTCTTTTTAACAAATGCCTCTGTGGTTGCTGTGTGTGTATGCTATGTAACTCCTTTTTTGTGCAGGTAAACCAGGGGTCAAAAATCAGATAAAAAAACTACCCGGATGTCCACGGCTCGCCTGATAAATGCATGTAATAAAAGACCATTTGTTGCATCCTCTCTTCAATCACCTGCTTAGCTCAATCGAGTGACTGTTCTACGGCTCGGCTGAACAAGAAAGTGGTTCGAGTTCTGCGTCTTGCTACTAGAAACAATTGTAAGAGGTGAGTTGCACTGTGACGCACGAGAGACCCATTTCAGGGGCACGTCCCAATTAGGCAAGTTTTATGTATTGCCCTCCACGGCTTCCGCCTGAAACTGACTGACCAGCAAGCATGAACAGTTTACAACGTAGAAACTGTCCGATCATCGGAGGCGGCAAGAATTTCGATCGCCCCCTCGAAAAAAATGTTGGGGGTATCGCCCCTCCGAAATCAAGATGAAACCTTTTGTGTCAGCAAAATTTGACACTCAAAATGCAGGAAATAGCGTTTCAGAGGGTCTATATTTCAAAATTTTTAAGGTGGAGAATATGCCCTAGACCCACGTGAGATTGCACTTTCGGAGCAAGTTGGTGAGCAGATCTCACCCCACATGCAAAATGTTGTGCCACCGCCTCTTTCGATTTACTAGTAGTAAGTTGAACATGACCGATTCTGTAGTAAAATGGTTTACTTTCTTCATTGTTATTTACTAATGAACATCTGGACTTCTGTCATGTTTTTATATGATTTGTTTCTTTCATGTATGTGTTTTTTTAAATAAAAGTATTCATTTCTGTAACTGTCCCATTAGATATTTTTTTTTATTTGCTCTGCGCCGATTATTTTTTTCTCCAAATTCCACACACTCCCCAGATTGTCAACTTCTCTCCATCTAGTTAATTAATTCATGTGTTCTTACCTTTGCTTTTTTGAAACAAATTAACAAATTTAGGCAATTGTCAAAAGGACGAAAATACCGAACTGATTACATTTTTACTGGCTGGCTGCTGGAGGGTATGTGTGTATGTAATTGTATAACGGCATGACATTGAATCTTGTAGATGGCACTTCGAAACATCCTGGATTCTCCAACCATGCTGTCAAGTAAAATGTTTGTAGATAGAATATATGGTACTATTTTTGGGAACTGTATTGGGAATGCAGTGGGACTGGCCACCGTTGGCATGACATGGAACGAAGCCGTAAGTGTATATTGTATATGTGATCACGCGTATCTTGTATAAGTGGTCACGTGCTGTTGTATATGTGGTCACGAGCATCTCGTATATGTGGTCACGTATATCTTGTATATGTGGTCATGTGTATCTTGTATATGTGGTCACGTGTATCTTGTATACGCGGTCACATGCATCTTGTGTATGTGGTCACGTGTATCTTGTATATGTGGTCACGTGTATTTTGTATATATGGTCACGTGTATCTTGTATACGTGGTCACGTGTATCTTGTATATGTGGTCCCGTGTATCTTGTATATGTGGTCACGTGTATCTTGTATATGTGGTCACGTGTATCTTGTATATGTGGTCACGTGTATATTGTATATGTGGCCACGTTTATCTCGTATATGTGGTCACGTGTATCTCGTATATGTGGCCACGTTTATCTCGTATATGTGGTCTCATATATCTCGTATATGTGGTCACGTTTATTTACATATGTGGTCACAAATATCTCGTATATGTGGTCACGTTTATCTACATATGTAGTCACATATATCTCGTATATGTGGTCACGTTTATCTACATATGTGGTCACATATATCTCGTATATGTGGTCACGTTTATCTACATATGTGGTCACATATATCTCGTATATGTGGTCACGTTTATCTACATATGTTGTCACATATATCTCGTATATGTGGTCATGTTTATCTACATATGTGGTCACATATATCTCGTATATGTGGTAACGTTTATCTACATATGTGGTCACATATATCTCGTATATGTGGTCACTTTTATCTACATATGTAGTCACACATATCTCGTATATGTGTATATTGTATATGACGAAACATTGCTTAATTTTTAATCGATTTCTGAAACCAGATTACACAAACAACAACAAGTTATCCTGTTGTTCACTCTATACAACCAAGTAAAGAATTTGAAGAACTGTATTCATAGGAGCAAATTATATAAAAAACGGGTTTTAAAACGTAATGGTTTCCACGACTGTATTTAAAAATAATAAAAAGGTGACTGTTAGTTAACATCAAAATTATCGTGAAATCATAACATGTGCTGCACATAATACCTAATACTTATTTATGAGAAGGTTGTTCAATAGGAAGTTTTGAATCAATTTTATACATTCAAATAAAAAACGCCAAAAACTGATAACTGAATATTATGTCATATTAAAACTTTTTTTTACAGAAACATCATGGTGTCGAATTTTGTATGAATGACAGTTTAAGACATTTCAATTTAGATCATCACGATCGGATACACGACAGTAATATAATGTTATTAATTCTACAATCCATTCTTGAAAACAATGGCCAGGTATTGTGTTTTACATTATTAGTTATACTCGAATCACAGACATTAGACCCCCAATTTGTCACTAGTGTATTTTTAATATTTAAATGTTTATTCTTAATTTGTGTTTACTTACCAGATTGATTCTAGACATCTTATCAGAAAATTATTTTCAGTCGATATAAACGGTATTGGTGATACAACACACCAAGTACTCTGCCACCAGATGAGTCGAGTCGACCCCCATAAGGTGAGTACTGTATGCAATCCTTAATCCACAATAGACATACA